TATATTTTTGGTTATGATTCAATGAGTCAATATATCTTCTCAGAGAAGTTGGTGGCCCCTATCAGCCACACCTCTCCCTTGACCCCAAAGTCACATACATGGTCTAGACCACCCAACCAAATGACAAAGGAATTAAGCATGGTCAGGATATAAAGAGAAGTGAGGAGCCAATGATCAGACCCTTAATGAGAAAGTGCCATATACAGTATGGTAATTAAAATCTAAACATCTGGAGAAAATGCAAACACTGTTTAATCTTGGCATGTACCAAGAGACCCACAGGAAAGATCAACGTGTTCTGCGGAGCTAGAGTCCCATTTATAGGATGAAAGTCTTGGAAGACTCTCTCAGCAGGAATGACATTAATGAAGTGGTGATAACACAGAAATGAGAGGGAACCGGGATGTGAAGGGGGCACAGGAAACAGAAAGAACAATACTCTCCAGGTTTCTTCTTGGCTGGGAATGTAGTATATAGAGCACAGGATTATAACAACTGAATGAACTGGCTGCTCCAAGTTAAAACAAAACAAAAAATGATTTTTTTTTTCTTTATTTCCCCAATGAATTCCATTTGTGGTTTGGTATTCTTGAGTCCTTGAAGATGTTAGACAACACCTAGTGCAGGGAGAAGAGCTCAGGCTGGTTGAGGGTGATGTGGAAAGGTACTGCTGATAGATGCACACAGAGTATAGACAAGTTTTCTTTTTAGGTAGAATACAAATAAATTCAGTGAGAATTTAAGAGTGAGACTAAGATTTCTGCATAGATTTTTTTTTCTTTCCTCCATTTGTATTACTTCTGCCCGTCACCCTCTCCATCCCTGCTGTTTCTTTCAGGTCCAGCTTAAACCATCTTTTCTCATAGCGGGCTATACGTATGGAGCCAATAAAGCATTGCTGACACCAACAAATCTTGGGATTTATCATGAACTGGGGTGGTGGGAATGCTCTACCCCGGTGACATGATGACAGATAGCTACTCTGCCTGTCCTCTGGCACTGGAGCCTACTCAGACTTGCTCTTCTGGGCCTATCTCATACATCTGAAGCCGGGTGCAGGGTTTGTTCCAAAACAGAGAGTATGAATGAGTTAAGATATACCTGACAGCAGACCTTCTATGTCTCGTAGTTATTCAAGATTTCTCAGACTGACATATGATAGGATTACAGTTTTTACTGTAACAGACGTATCCAAGGAAAGCTGCTATAATTTACAGCAGGCTTGCAGAGAACCCGCCAATGGATGATCATCAATTTAAACTGTAAATTATGGCTTGCTTTGTTCTGGACTCTGATCCCAGTAATGCCCCTAACGAGCTGCCTGCAAAGCCAGGGCATGATGCCCACTGTTGGTTATACGTTGATAGAAGAACTATGCTTGTCCTCACAAGCCACTGAAAATAGCAATAAGAAGGGGAAGGCACAGACAGACGGGTTTCTGGGGAATGCAAGACAGCTGCCCTGATGTTGTCAGTTTTATCTCAGTTGTTCCCAATGATGTGAGAAGCAGAGGGAAGTATTTGGTACAAAAGATGTTAACTTGCAAGACAGCACTCTAGAGACCTGAAAGAATTAATACAAGGCTTTAAAGGAGCCTACCCTTCTCACTGGAGGATAGCGACAATCCTAGGAGAATTGGAGCGAACATGAGCGCCTTTGTCCTGTGTAATTAATAGAGTCTTATATTTCTTTCTTCTTCTTTTTTATATAACATTTTATTGATTGGGGGAAATATAGTCACAGTTTAAAATGTTGTGCAGGTACTGTCTCTTTGGTTCAAGTATGTCTCTTTGTGGGGGAGAGTACATATTTCATGGTGATAAACTGATCTCATAAGTAGAAAAACTGCACAAATATACTGCTATGTCAACTTTATTGATTTTTGCACCATTGTAAAGACCTTCATCGTCCTCCAATATTTCTTAAATCTATCAGCATCTCAGAAAGTGACCCTGAAGGCCTCATTTATCTGTAGAGGCAAAGATCCCTTTGCTTAGGTTCCCTCATAAACATTGTGATTTAAACAGCTTAGGACCGCCTCTGCTTCTGTGACGGTAACTGGCCCAGAGTGAGCTGTGCTCTCATAATCATAGGCGGCGACTTCTCTTTCTCTGGAATTAGGGTCTGCCAAGTCTTAATATCAGTTAAATGCCCATGGCTAAGAGTTCTCTAGACAGCTATAGATTAATTATATGGCCTGATTAACGTGGCACAAACGGCTAAGCACTTGACTACTAGCTGAAAGGTTGGTGGTTTAAACACACCCAGTGGTGCCTCAGAAGACAGGCCTGGCAATCTGCTTTCTAAAAGGTCACAGCCTTGAAAACCCTATAGAGCAGTTATACTCTGCACACAGGGGTTGCCATTAGTCAGAATCTACTAAATTGAACTGAGTGGATTCTCTGGCAAGGCTCTTTGCTATATTCCATCTAAGCATTTCTGCCACTCCT